GGGAGGCTCCGGCCCGCCCTGTCCCGCTCCCCGCCCGGCCCGGGGCCGACCCCGGTGCGGTCCGGTCTGGCGGGGTGGGCCCGAGGCCTGGAGGGGGTTTGGGGTGGGAGGACACTGCCCCGGGCACGGCAGCCCCCGGCTCCGTCCCACAGCCCGAGAGAGAGCGGTGGCGGCGAAGGCTGAGGAGATTAGTCTCCTCACAAAGCTCCGAAAGGGGGGCAGCGCCGCCCGCCCCTCCCCTGCCAGCAGCTACACCAGGAAAGTTTAGACTAAAACTCATTTTTAACTTATTTTGGAGGGTGCGTGGAGGGCGCAGGCCCCAGGGACAAGGAGCCAGCGTCCCCGCTCCTGAGGGGGACACGGCATCCTTCAGCCTGACTCACCGAGCTGCCAGAGACACTCCCCTTCAAGCTGTTTTGGGGAAGAAATCCCAGCCTTTTGGGTTTTAACCACTCCACAGCCTTTATTAGGAGCAAAGCATAAAGTAACTGGGTAGAGAAAGGGTAGAAAATGCTGCTGGAAAAGCCCAAAAGAGTTTAAACCCCCTTTCCTACTCATCACTTAAGAATGGAATCAAAAAGCCATTAGCCCAGCACTGCTAATGAGCACGGTCCCACACTGCACAGGAGATGATGGGCTGCAGCCTCAGCTCCAGCAATTAGGAAAGCTACAACTGATAATTTACAGTTTCCACCCCCAAGATCTCAAATCCCCAACTTCTACATTTATGAACAGACTTAAAAGCGCAGGTTTTACAAACAAGGAACAGGGCACATCGCGTGGCTCCGTACTCTTCATGGCCATCGTGGCAAACCATCAAACTCTGCCACACAACCTCCCTGTAGCCTCAGACCGCTGCGTTCCGCTCAAAATGCCCCTCTCTTGGCATGAAACAACTCCAAACACTGCAACTCCTCATGGTGATTCAGCCCAAAGATATTTAGCGGAGACGTATACACTTGGAAAACTCCCATTTTCTCTCACTTTTGGTCCTCCGGCGCTTGCAGGTCACGTGAGGTCTTGTAAATAGAGGCTTGGCTCAAGACCTGCTGGCACAGGTTTGCTTTACACACAGTGTGCTTATTTTATCTGTGTGTCCTTTTTTTATATCTTTGTTTATGTGAAAAAGGCGGCGTCGGGGGGAGGGAAGAAGTTTTCCTGACCTTCCTACTTCGCCATCGCACCTCTTGCTGCTGCTTTCTGCTTCATAAGGACAATTGGCCACCTGCTTATGCCAACTTACTCATGTTGCATCCCTGCTTCAGGGGTTTATAGGATTTTATGAACACAAACAATTTAAGCTTCCTCATCCCTGGATTGAGCTATCCTTCCCCATCTTCAGCCTGGAGAAGAGAAGGCTCCAGGGAGACCTTATAGCAGCTTACCAATATCTGAAGGGAGCTACAGGAGAGCTGGAGAGGGATTCTTTGTCAGGACAAGGGGTAATGGTTTTAAATTGGAAGAGGGGAGATTTAGATTAGATATTAGGAAGAAATTCTTTGGTGTGAGGGTGGTGAGAGCCTGGCCCAGGTTGGCCAGAGAAGCTGGGGCTGCCCCATCCCTGGAGGGGGTCAAGGCCAGGTTGGAGGGGGCTTGGAGCAACCTGGGCTGGTGGGAGGTGTCCCTGCCCAGGGCAGGGGGTTGGAACTAGATGATCTTTAAAGTCCCTTCCAACTCCAACCATTCTGTGATTCCATCTTGACAGGGAGCAAAGGAAGAGGGAGGGTGCCTGGTGTCACAGAGCAAGGCAGAAAGAGCAAGTTAGGAATTCTTTCAATTACTGCAGCTGTAAAAAAGGTTCTTCATCCATCTGAAAATTGCACAAACCTACCTGAGATCATCGTCTTCTGTATTTCAGCAGACCGAGGAGGGAGGCCACTCCTGTTCAGGGCACAGATTCACTGTTTATTCAGTGCAACGGCCAGAACCACTTTATTTGCAGCATATTTAAAAAGCGGGGGAAATACTTTCCTAAAAGCCCCCCGTGGAGAAGGCTGCTGGCTGGAGACATTTGTTCCAAAAAAGAAAAACAAAACGTTCCCGTGGTTTACCTCCAGGCTAGCTCTTATCGGGGTCTTCACCTATCACCAGTCCGCTTCCCCCGCCTCGGTGGGATCTGAAACACTCTGTAGATGGAAAAAGAGCTGGGAGTAATCTCCGGCTGCTCTCACGGCCGCACATCTGCTCACCCAAACAGCATTCCAGGCGTGTGTTACACCTCCCAGCTTCACAGCCCCACACAGGGACAGCAGGGGGAGAAAGGGGAAGCTGTTTCTCAGGCGTTTAACATTTGGTTTTAATAGTCAGGGAGCCTTTGGGATGCATGGGTGGCATCCACGCTTTGGCCCTGGGAAAAAAAAAAAACGGCAGCTTGGGCTCCATGCTGACATCTTCTGGGAGGCCAACACTGCTGGGAAAATGAGGTTTTCCTCTTCTCTTGGACTCTGTTAACACCCTGCTTGTCTTAAACTGAAGCTAACGGCTGCAGCGCACAGTACTGAGAGGAAAGACGTGCAGGAGGGATATGGGAAAAGTGATATATGATGTATAAGGTCCCTCTCCCCCTGTTTTTCAGCATCACAACACAAAAGCTAAAATCCACGTTAAAGGACGCTCCCCCTGCACTTGCTTCCCCGACTTCAAGTACTGTGTCCAGTTTTGGGCTCCCTAACTCCCCCTGCACTTGCTTGCCTGACTTTGAGTACTGTGTCCAGTTTTGGGCTCCCTACCACAAAAAAGACATTGAGGTGCTGGAGCGGGTCCAGAGAAGGGCAACAAAGATGGTGAGGGGTCTGGAGAATAAGTCTTATGAGGAGAGGCTGAGGGAGCTGGGGGTGTTCAGCCTGGAGAAGAGGAGGCTGAGGGGAGACCTTATTGCTCTCTACAACTCCCTGAAAGGAGGGTGTAGAGAGGTGGGGGTCGGTCTCTTCTCTCAAGTCACAGGCGACAGGACGAGAAGAAATGGCCTCAAGTTACTCCAGGGGAGGTTCAGGCTGGATATTAGGAAGAAATTTTTCACTGAAAGGGTTATCAGGCATTGGAATGGGCTGCCCAGGGAGGTGGTTGAGGCACCATCCCTGGAGGTGTTCAAAAGACGGGTTGATGTAGTGCTGGGAGGTATGGGTTAGTGATGGTGATGCTTCTTGTTTGTTGTGTGGGTGTCTATTTTTGTCAGTTAGGTTGACGGTTGGACAAGATGATCACTGAAGTCCCTTCCAACCTAGAAGATTCTGTGATTCCAGCAGTCTCACAATTGCAGTCCCTTGGGATTGCAGTCCTTGGGGCCGGAGAGTCCTGCTCCTCCAGTGACTTCTATTTAGGCTTTGGCTGGTTGCCCCGGCGGGTGACTGGCCGCTCCTGCTTTTGCCGACTGCTGGCACCATCTGCAGGCCCTGCAAGCGAGGGGAGATGAAGTGCTCGCTCAGGTTTCTCAGGCTTTGACTCGAGTCTCATCGCCAGTCAAAGCAGGGAAGAGAGGAGACAGGTTGGCAGGGGCTGTGGAGGGGAGAGCTTGGCAGAGGCAGGAGGATCTGCACGTCGCCGCCTTCAGAAAAATCCCAAGGCAACACTCTGAGTGGAAGCAACGTGTTGTCACCCAGCTAACTCAGATTACACTTGGTACTTCACATATGGGATTAGACTAGGATTATGGGCACCTCTGAAAAATGTTATTTTCTCTCCCTGAGAGGTTATTTTTGGCCAAGAGGGAGAAGGAGTGTAACTCATTCTGGAACATTGCCCATGTCATCTGTTGCAAAAAAAAAAAAAAAAAAAAAAAAAAGGAATAGAGAGGAAAAGAGGCTTAAGACTTGGCTGTAAGCCCCATATCCGTGTGACTGCTTTCCCAACTGGACCGTTTGTGTTGCATTTCCAGCTCTTTAGGTTCAGATTGCAACAGAGCAAGTGCTGAAGGATATAGCGGTGCCTCCTGAGCCAGCCAGCCTGAGAATATTTCACCTACTCACCCTTGACTTGCTTCTGCAGGACCTGTCCTTCGAGGTGACCAGCGTTGCTCGGCTGGGTGGTGCCTGCAGGAGCATGGTCTTTCGGCAGCACCTCTCCTGGAATCCCCTCTATCAAAGACAGGGTGTGCTTCGTTATAAAATCAGTTTTAAAAAAACATTTTCCCATGAATGAGCTTGTAACAGTTCCCCAAAATAAATTGCAGCATTATAAATCAAAAGTTAACCACTTTTAATTTAAAAAAATATGTAAGAAAAACTAATTAGCATTGGTAAACTGAGAATGGCAGAATGGGCAAAGATCCTGGATTTGTTTCAATAGGGTTTGGGTACCCAGTTCCCCTAAACTCATCCCGACCTTCTGTGTCTGCACAAGGTGAAGCAGCTGAAGCTGACAGACGGTCAGTGCAGCCAGTCATGTCTTGGCCTCCTTGCTGAGGCTTGCTTTGGGTGAGAAACTCTCTGAATCAGCACCTTGTTGCATGTGAACCCAACCGAACCCTAATCCTTCCCCATCGGTTAGAAAGGCACAGTTGAGGCATTGGTCTACAAAGGATATGTGTTCTTACCCATCCAAAGCTACTTAGATTATTTTTCTTTTTTAAAAATTAAGATCAAATTACTAATAGTTCGGATCATTAGCTTTTACTCTGGTTTATTTCTCACATGACAATCCATCTTTTCCAACAGAGCTGATGCAGGATGTCTCCAGCAGCTCTTTGGCCCCTACCTGAACGGTGGTCGACAGGAACTTTGATCTTTGGGGCAGTGGATATGCTGCTCGTGGCTTTTGACTGATGGAAGAGTCTGTCTTGGCACAGGTGGTTCTCACCAGCTTTGTCTGTACTGGGGCTTGAGGGAGTCCAGTGAGTAGCTTTTGAGGTCTGAAAGACACCAAGTTGAGTTAGCCTCCGTGGTGATGTCTCTCCCCTCTGATTGTTGCCGTGTGGTACCAAAAATATTCACAGAATCACAGAATTATGTGGGGTTGGAAGGGACCTCTGGAGAACATTTAGTCCAACCCCCTGCCAGAGCAGGGTCACCCAGAGCAGGTTGCACTGGAACTTGTCTGGGCGGGTTTTCAATTGTTGCCATGTGGTACCAAAAATATTCAAAGAATCACAGAATGATATGGGGTTGTTGTCTGGGCGGGTTTTGAATGTCTCTAGAGATGGAGACTCCACCAATTCCCTTCACACCTGACTTTAGGCAGGTGGTCAAGGGCATTATAGAAGAATAAAGATATTTAACTTATTTCCTCGTGCAGTTTGTACTATGTTTCTCTTATCATATTTAAAAATCACTCTTGCTCCGCTTGATCTATGTCTTCTGCTCAACCCATCCCCAATAGAAAGAAGCACAAAGGACCTACCCTGTGGAAGTTTGGTTCAAGAGAGCGAGATCTTTTCTTCCTGGCTGTCCTCTCAGCAGGCATCTCCTGGTCCCTCCTGTTCTTCAGCATTCCCCTGGCTGGGGAGCACAGCTGGCTGCCAGCTGCGGGATCCGACAGCAAACTCCCCCTACTCGCACTGTCTCTTCTCTGACAGTCTGGGGTGGAACTGGCCTCCAGATACTTCAGCTCAAGCGTATCCTCCTCAGAGGAGTGGGCTGAGGAGACATCACTCCCAAGGTCCCTCTGTTGGACTCTGGAACGGCGACTGGCCGCAATGAGGGAGATGCTTTTGGTGTTGGCAGCGATTTCCTTCAAGGTCTCCAGGCTCATTGGAAGAGCAGCAATGTCTGCAGGTGACTTCTTCCCACACAAGTCCAGAGAGGTGGGGGAACGCAGCTTGGGAGTCATCTTTCCTGCAGCAACACCTGGAGGTTTCTGCTAAAAATCAAAGCAATTGCAGCGTAATTTGCTTCCCGTTCAAGGCTTTTATTCTTTTCACCTTCAAAGCGCTTTCAAACATTTGGGAGACATTAAATTTCACCTGAAATATTGTTACAACAGCTTCTATGTATGGAGAAACAAAGGCAAAGCTTTTTAATTATGTATTTCCTGTACAGAGCCACGGCTACAAAATGAGTCAGCCCACAAGCAAGAGGCTGATGAGCTCCTACCTCTCCCTCCTGTTCCAGGGTGCTGGGTGGAATCCATCTCACTGGTTTTGCCAAATCAGGGCCGAGGAGATCAATTAATGGCATAAAAGGAGGTGATCATCCTGGACAACACAGGCACCCTCACACCAGACCATGCGTTGTATGGTGCATCCCTATTTACAACGTCCATCACTCTGCTGGACAACTAGACACTACGTGGTTCATGGAGAGGGAGACCCCAAATTGGAGATGGCAGCTAAGCCTTGGCCTCTTAAATGAATCTCAGGCCTTAAACCCAAGGCCAGCAATCTAGGAGTGATTCTGTTGCCTGCCAAGGTTTACCTTCCTCACATGCAGTAGATTCAACTGCCATCCACGACAAACGTGCCTTGAATTCAGTCCCTGCCACACTGACCTGCTGAACTGGGCTTTTTGGTGAAGCAGAGAAAGCTGGGCTGAGGTGGGTATCCAGGGACCCCTCCGTCCTACAGGGTGCGGTTTTAGATGATCTGCAACTGTCACTGTGAAAAGAATATGCTGAAAGGTTAATAAACGAAAACACAGACCCTTTATCAAGAGGGAGAGATGAAACACGTCCAGATGAGAGCTCTCGAGACATGGGGAAAGCCAGGAGCCTGGTAAATGTGGTAATAAAGAACACAGCAAGGAAGGATTTCACAATTCATGAAGGAGAGAGATTTTGTCTCCTGATCCTCGCAAACTTTGCTACTTTATTTGATTAAATGCTTGCCAGTCAGCAGAAGCAAAACCAGACATCTCCCGTAGCACTCTCTGCAGAGAAGGTTCCTGCTAAAACACAGAGCTACTTTGCCAGAGTTTTCCCGTAATTACAGATTCCAGTTTCTGAAGGTTCTTCCAGTTTGATATCGCCCAACTTTGGGGACATAGCTGGGAGCTGGAAGGTCCCCATGCCCTAGAGAAAAAGTCTAATAATGAGAAGGATTCACATTACCTGTCTGACTCAAGGGTGATGGAGGGAATGTCAAACTTCACCCCCCAGGGAAGATCCTTCATGTTCCCAGGTGGACCTTTTCTGACCTCATCTTTATTAGGATCCAGATGCTGACTCACATCCAGAGAAGGGCTGTTGTGGGGCTGCAGGAAGAGGGAAGAATGAGATCTTCAGCAGATTTTTCTCACTGTAAAGCCCCTCCTCTAGCCCTGGCCCCCAGCCTGTGGTCACAAAGACGCTCTTGATACCTCATGTGCTTTTCCATAGCTCCAGCCACCTGCTAATTGCTCCTCTCCTGTGGAAGGGCACCCAAAGTAGTTTAATTTCTCATATAACAACATGACTAGCAGTAAGTTTATTATTCAAAGTGAAACCCAACTCCTTGTCCTGTTCATTCTAGGCAATCATAATAAACAGGAGACGCTGCTGGTTGGACTCCCTGCTGAAGACTGTGGCAATTTCTTGGCAGCCCCTTAAGTGTCTCAAAACACACACAAGTTTTCCAAAGACAAAAAGGCCAGCAGCAACTTTCCCTCCTTGCACGAAAGGCCTGAGGACCTCGATAACAACTGTGCCATGAGCAAGCAGAGGCCTCCAGAGGGGATGGTCTCCTTCAGCAGTGCCTCGTAGAGTTGCGTGTTTGGCCATCTCACCTTTGCTTTTCTGCTTGCCACCAAGTCACATTCGTCTCTCTCAAATCTAATGCAACAGGCTCATAGAGTTGCGTTTGGCCATCTCACCTTTGCTTTTCTGCTTTCCACCAAGCCACAGTTGTCTCTCTCAAATCTAATGCATCAGCAACTGGGAGGATGAACGTGCTGGCTCATGCACAGCCCTGCCTGGGTCCTTTTCTGTCACTAAAAGCCTTATTAATTCTCTGAGTCAAAGGAGGGAAAGAGATCGGAGCTTCAGAGACATAAAACAAAGCTTTGTGCAGCTCCTGATGGGCACCAGGGCCTGGCCAGGCTTTGGGTGGGTGTGAATCTACAGCCGTGACACAAGACGATGGGACAAATGTGGATTCTCCAGCACAAGGGTCTGCTCTGCCTCACCCTGAGCATGATGGACATCACCGAGTGCAGCAGGAGCAGGCGGTTCAGCGTCCCCTCCTCCAGCTCCGAGAGGTGCAGGTGGTGTAACCTCACCAGTGTCTCTGGGACAGGAATGTTCTGGGCTGGAGCAGAGATGGGAAGGAAAAGTTAAAAGGTCATTCCTGGAGAAACAGCTGAGAACTGTGAAGTCATGACATCCAAGACAAGCGTTTCTGGGTGGACTGTTCTCCACTTTGGCATCAGAAAACAAGGCTCAGAGATAGTGACGGAGCAAAGCCGCTGCTTTACCTTTTATCAGCATCTGCTGCTGATGAATAATTTCTTCACAGAGCAGCGTGTGCTGCTGCAGTTGCTGGATCACAAAATCCTTCTGGCACAAGAGATTCTCCTTGTACTGTGTATTTGCCTGCAGCTCCGTGTTGCCAAGCTCAAGCTCGTGGGCTCTGCAGAGGAGCCTCAGCACCTCCTGCTGATCCTCGCTGGTGATTTGTCTGGGGAAAAACTCCTCCATCTGGGAAGCTTTTTCCTTGGCATTTGCTAAGTGCTGCTCCAGCTCTGTCTGAAAGAGATAGACAGGGGGTTGTCAAGGCAGTTTGGCTCCTTGGGATAACAAAGCAGAGCAAATCTCTGCTGTGTCCTTCACGCTGAGATTAAAGTAATAGCTACAGAAAGTATTTTGCTAATTGTACTAGCAGCCACCGTGGTTCAGTCATGGCAGATACATCCAGACACACAGTCCTTGCCTAGAGGAGCTCACAAACACTAATGTTAGCTGTCAAAAAAATAATCACCAAAAGTGATTACCAAAACATTGAACAACCAGTGAGTGACAAACCCTAAAAGTGTCCCTGAAAGGGAAAATGGGTTTGTGATTTTCCCTCGTCCTAAAAAACCACAGGGACAGAGGCAGGATGCAAAGGGCAGTGCTCCCACACTGCTTCCTTCTGCAGCCCAGAGTATTTAGGAGTCCACCTGCAATCCAGGTGCCACGCTGCTTTCGTGGTGCTGGCCCAAGAGCAGGAGAACCTCTCTGAGTTACACTGCTGCCATCCTGCCCCCAGGCACCCTCCGGGCCGAGGTCAGAGTTGTGACCATAAGGCCACCTTCACCTCCTCACCTTCAGGGCCGCCGTCCTGCGTTGCTCTGCCAGCAGCAGGTTGATCTCTTCTCTTGCTGCCGTCACTTCGTGAGGTTCAGGTGACTCCATGGTGTCCACATCCCTGTCTTCCTCCTCTGTATTTCCACCTTTCTCCTCTGTTGCTGGCTTGTCGTCCTTGTGTGCACCCTGAGCCTTCTCTCGTTCCCAGCTGCCAGCAGAAAAAGAAAGGAACTTCTAGAGTTATGTCACCACGTCCTAATGATGCACGCAGAGTCCTTCATTGTATCTGTCCAACTTCCTGCATGCCAGCAGCAGAACTGATTGGTCCAGGCTGCTTTGGAGCTGGGCAAGCCATGCAGAAGAGCACAATTAGCTTCCTCCTGTAAGACAGGCCTCCTACGTGATCTTTCCATGGAAAGAACAGTGCTTGTCCCCCACCTCAACACAAATTGTTGTCTATTCACAGGTACTTGTTGAACATCTTTAATGTTCTGAAGGCTATTTTAACTACAAATGACCCAAAGTCAAAGGGACTATAAATTTTACAGCAGCATTAGGTGGGTGACTAGTGATAATGAGAGGGAACTGACACCTACTTACAGTTTATCCAGAAGAAAGGGATGCTGCTGCTTTCTCTGACCTGGAGTCATGCCCAGATGCAGTGCATCTGGGTGGAAAACACTTCACAAACACAGGGTGACCGGACCACGGAAGGACCAACAATCCCAAACTCCACTATCATCCAGTTTTCCCCATTAAAACACAAGCCCAGAATAAGGTCCAAAGAGAGGTGAGGTACCTACTGTTTATCCCCTTAGTCTCGTGTTTGAACCTGATGCCAGAGGTAGCTGGTTGCTTTATGGAGCTACATGAGAAGATTGCATGTTGGTGCAGCACCATGTGCCGGCTGCAGCCTCGGTACAGGCAGCTGGAGGGATTAGGGATGTATTTCTCGATAGCAGAAATCACCCGTTGCAAATATAGCACCTTAATCTAAGGCTCAGAGTTGCACGGACTTAATCGACCTTAAATCCCTGGGCACCTTTTGCAGACCACCAACCCTCCCAAGTCTTTTTTTCTCGTCACTTAGGTAAATCTCAAACCTACACTTGATCTCATGCATTTGTTATTTTTGTTGGGGGTGGGGGGACCATCGGATGTTGGCATTTCTTGTGGTGAGTTTGGAGGTCCGTGTGTAAATCGTGCTGAAAGCCCAGGAGGTACTCACTCTGCAATGGTTAGGAGGTGCCTGCAGGTATCGACGTGCAGCTCAATGTTGGTGTTCTCCAGCTCCATCAGGCTGCGACGCATCTCCATTTGCTCCCTGAAAGCCTTCATCAGCTGTGCCCTCAAGGTGTTCATCACCTGAGGACTGTGCACCTCTGAGCCTTGGTGCTTCTCTGCTGCAGGAGAAGACATTTCTGACCTGACCTTAAGCCAGGTAAACTTCTGCCAAGTCCCCACAAAACTACTTTTGGGCCCAAGCCCCTCCTTTGTTTATAGGACTGCTTCGTTCTGCAGTGTCTTGAGGTTAATCATGTGCTTAAGAAATCCGATATATATTTATGACTATATTATTAGCAATAAATAGGTCTCATTGCTACTCTTTTGTGAGCATGAAGGGGATACTGCATTGCAGGGACACCTCTTCCCCCTTTCCACTTGCCAAAAACAAAAAGGTATCGGTTTTCTGTGCTTGTTACCTAGAAATGACCTTGGGTATTGGTAGCACAGACCTATTATACTCATGTCTTGTCTGTCAGAGAACTTGACTATTTTTGTTTCATTCCTTGCCAGATTCACTGACAAAAGGAACAATCCCCAGGGCAGAACAATCAATGCTTTAAAAGCTTCGCCCTGCCCCCCTCCCTACTTTTTTTTTTAATTTATTTTTGATTAAGTGCAACGAACCATACAACAGAATTCTGTTTCCTGATGCAGCCTCGGAGCCTGCAGTGACCCAGGCTACAAACTTGGTCACCTCTCTGGAAGAGTCAGGACTTCCCCCAGCAAATGCCACCACTTGATGTCAAAGCTCTTCTCCAGGGCAGTTTCGTGAAATTTAACACATTTTGACCTTGGGGAAGATGCTGAGGGGGTTGAATGTGTTGTCCAGCATCGTGCAGCACATCAGAGACAGGCTTACACAGAACAACTTCATTTCCCCTACCTATCAGGCTGTGTTCTCCACTCTGCTTCTCTGCAGGCATTGTTGAACCAGCTTCCCCCAGCTATGTCTGCATGGAGGCCCACCAAGAGCTACCACAACTCATCCACATGGCTCCTCTCCCAGCTCCCTTCCCTCCAGATACCCCAGAATGTTTCTAGCTCGTGGCTCTACCTTGCAGATCCCTGAGGTCAGCACTGGCTGTACTTTTCTCTTTCTCCTGGTTTTTCACCCTCTCCTTCAGACGCTCGATCTCCCTGCGGAGGTCCGCGATGATGCTGGTGTATTGGTCAACGTTCCTCAGGTTACATTTCACCTGGTTGAACCAGAACACACGAGTATTTGTCCCACAGTCTGTTATTGGTACAACAGCTGTAAACAAAGCTACAGTTTTGGTTGGAGGGGCCCCAAATCCTGCCTTGAGGAAGAGTTTTCCTTCTTGAGTGGGGAGACTGTAGATTTGTGGTTTTCCCTAATTCCGGGAAATTCCCAAAAGGCAACAGAGAAAAGCCAGGGACCTTGTGTCCACAGGGAAAACACAGAGATCCACAAAGTGAAAACCCTTTTGTAGATCATTGTTCATCTTCCTTCACCCCACAAACATCTCCATTTTATTCCTCCTTTCTGCAGCCCTTCGGTTTCTCTTCCAGGCCCAGCATCCCCACTGGGACATTCCCCATACATTGTCCTCCCAATAGCCATCTTCCACCCATCACTCCTTATGTTCTGCACCCAGGTCCATGCCTGGCACATCCTCCTCTGCCTTTCCATCATTCTGCTCCTTGTTTTGATCCTCATACTCCTCATCCATGACCCACACCATTTGCTTTCTGCTGTTCCCTTCGTCTGCATTTCTTCCCTTCTATCACTCACTCTGAGTTTCTACACCATCCTGATGTTTGTTCTCCTTTCATCCACTACATTTTAATCTCTAACCCCCACCTCCCTTGTGAGTTGTTTGCCCTTTTACCTGTGTCTTGATGTTTTTTGCTCGGTAGGCATAGATCAAGGTCATTCGAGATTCTTCAAAGGAGGTGCTGGCTGGGCTGATATGTGCAATCATAACAGTCCTGCTGTTGCCACCTAACGAGTCCTAGAGGGATGCAACGTGGATGTGGTTAGTATGGACACCATAGGGGCTGGCTGCTCAGTGGATGTGGTTAGTATGGACACCATAGGGGCTGGCTGCTCAGTGGATGTGGTTAGTATGGACACCATAGGGGCTGGCTGCTCGGTGGTACCCACCAGGGCTGGTTACCCCTGCAGTTCATTGAGATTCCGGTGGAGAATCCCAATTAGGAGCCAAGGAAGTGCCGGTAAAAGACCATTCATTAGGCCCTTTCTCCATCAACAGCAAAATCAATAAGTAATTAAACTTCCTACGAAAGAAGAATTTTTTGCAAGGAAATCGCAATTTTCACAGATACGCTGGCAGCTTCTCAAACAGAAACCTGCCTTTTTCTCCAGCCCTTCTCCACCCCCAGCATCCTCTAGAAAACACATCTGTCAGGCTCCGGTAGCTGAGCACCAAGGCTTGAGGTGAGGCTCATAAATGACGTTGTAAAGGATCCATAAAATAACCCGTGAAGCAAAGAGCCTGTCTGCAACCTTCCCGATTTCCTACGACAGCACGCAGTCACTCTCAGACTCTCTTTCTCCAGCCTCAACATCATCTAAATTTATTGGCCAATTTCAGGCAAATTTTATAGAAGGGATGAAACATTCAAAGGCAGTAAGTTCATTAAAATAGAAAAAAAACCCCACACTTATCACGTGGGAGCTTAGAGACACACAACCCGAATCGATAGGATTTCTTTAACCCTTGGATGGACTAGAAGATCTTAGAGGTCCCTTCCAACCTAGCCAATTCTATGTTTCTGTAGGACATCCTTCCTTAGCAGAGCAGATGACAAAACAAGAAGTTTATAGAAGAGTCAGCAGCGAGTCAAGCCCTGATTGTATCATAATACCCACGCAAGATCCTGGAGGAGCGCTCTGAGCTGGATAAAGACAATGCATGGACACACTCAAGGATGAGCCCTGGGAGTCTGATTTGAGGGGTGATTCCAGCCCAGCTCCTCGGTGACCCGTGGTGACAGTACCTTCAGCAGGCGTGTGAGTTTGCTGTCCCGAAAATTAACAAACTGGGCCCGGCTCCCCCCCTTCTCGCTCAAGGCGTTGATGCAGTTGCCCAGAGCCAGCAGCGAGCGGTTGATGTGGGCTCCTTCCTTCATCCTCTTGCCCCGGTTCTGCGTCTGTCGGGAGGGAGGACAGACAGACAGACAGACAGAGCACAGGCTTCAGAACGCTGGGTCTGTCTGTGCCTGGGGAAGCAGGATGTGCAGCATCACTGGGGTGAAGGCAATGCCTCCTCCTGCAAAATCAACCTGAAATTGCAGGGTTAAACTCCACTCTGAGGCACAGGGGTGCTGGTCAGAGCACATTTCTTGGAAAAGATGACCCAGCTGTGACGTCTTGGTTCTTAAAAGATAGCTATTAATTATCTTCTAAAGATGATTTCAGAAATTAAGATGCATAACTGCAGAATTCCTGGTCTCAGCAGAAATACTGGGTATGTGAATCTCTCTCCCTCAAATCACCTCCCTGAGTTACAGCATTTCCTCCTTCCCACAGGAACCAGCTGCCTTATTTTCCACCCACCAGCATCCCTCCCTTCCACTGGTACCAGCTTTCTCTCTGACAGCCCAGCTGGTCCCTGCCCAATGGACCTCAGCTTCTCTGCAGACGTGAGATTCACTGCTCCTTTTTCAGACCTGAGAAAAGGCTGCACCCAAAAGCTGGTTCACATTTTTCCAGCGATACCAGCTGGTCTAATAGAAAATATTACCAATACTGACAAACTTTGCCTATTTTTAGGCTGTCCCAGGTACAAACTACTGCTCTGAAGTGACAGAGAAACACACACAGTGCTGGTTTCTGGATGAGGAGGGCCGTGCAGACCCTGCACAGCAGGCCAGGGAATCCAGCTTGGTCTCACCAAAAGCTGCTGAGATCCAGCCATACCTGGGCTGCTCTCTCTGACCCCGCCAAGTCGACCATGAAGAGCTTTCCAACCCTCATTTCCTCGCCCGTTGCCTTCCTGCGGCTTTTCTGCGTCACTGTCACCTGCAGCACGGCGTGCGAGCGGGAGGAGGTCCTGTTGGCAGCAGTGGGCTCCTGCGTGCGCTGCTTGTTTCCTTTTGTCAACAGCTGCATGATCTACATGACATGGAAAAGCACACAGAGATGTCCTCTGGTGTGGGGACAGGCTGAGAGAGTTGGGGGTGGGGCCGTGCAGACCCTGCACAGCAGGCCAGGGAATCCAGCTTGGTCTCACCAAAAGCTGCTGAGATCCAGCCATACCTGGGCTGCTCTCTCAGACCCCGCCAAGTCGACCATGAAGAGCTTTCCAACCCTCATTTCCTCGCCCGTTGCCTTCCTGCGGCTTTTCTGCGTCACTGTCACCTGCAGCACGGCGTGCGAGCGGGAGGAGGTCCTGTTGGCAGCAGTGGGCTCCTGCGTGCGCTGCTTGTTTCCTTTTGTCAACAGCTGCATGATCTACATGACATGGAAAAGCACACAGAGATGTCCTCTGGTGTGGGGACAGGCTGAGAGAGTTGGGGGTGTTCAACCTGGAGAAGAAAAGGCTCCAGGGAGACCATAGAGCACCTTCTAGTCCCTAGATGGGCTCCAGGAAAGCTGGGGAGCAACTCTTCATCAGGGAGGGGAGCCACAGGATGAGGGGGAACAGTTTTAAACTGAAAGAGGGGAGATTTAGATTAGATACCAGAAAGAAATTCTTTGCTGTGAGGGTGGTGGGACACTGGTCCAGGTTGCCCCAAGAAGCTGTGGCTGCCCCATCCCTGGAGGGGTTCAAGGCCAGGTTGGAGGGGGCTTGGAGCAACCTGGTCTGCTGGGAGGTGTCCCTGCCCAAGGAACGGGGTTGAAACTCAGTCTTTAAGGTCCCTTCCAACCCAACCCATTCTATGATTCTATGAAAGCAGCATGCAGCAGGGGAGCAGAGCTGGCAGGAGTTGAGCTGGGGATTTCAGCCACTCACACAGCCTCGTGGTCAGCTCTTTCCATACAATTCATCACATTAATCCAGTCCCACCGAGGTCCTGCTACACAAGGTCCTTGCTACCGAGTAAGGCACAGGCAATGGGAAAGTGTCCAGAAATTTTAAAGCACTGTTGCATGTGAGCAGAGCCCCCCTCCCTTTCTCCTCACCATGGACTGTAGCCCCAGGTACCTCCTGAGCATTTGTGGTAGAGACTTCTGTAATTCCTGCTATCTGGATGCTGCCTCTGGAGTCCTCTCTCAGGTCTAAGAAGCCCGAGGATGGGTTCAGGAGGTCACGGATCACTTCGTTATAGATCTGAGGGTAAGAAACGAGCGGTTGGTGATGCGAGCGGGAGGAGGTCCTGTTGGCAGCAGTGGGCTCCTGCGTGCGCTGCTTGTTTCCTTTTGTCAACAGCTGCATGATCTACATGACATGGAAAAGCACACAGAGATGTCCTCTGGTGTGGGGACAGGCTGAGAGAGTTGGGGGTGTTCAACCTGGAGAAGAAAAGGCTCCAGGGAGACCATAGAGCACCTTCTAGTCCCTAGATGGGCTCCAGGAAAGCTGGGGAGCAACTCTTCATCAGGGAGGGGAGCCACAGGATGAGGGGGAACAGTTTTAAACTGAAAGAGGGGAGATTTAGATTAGATACCAGAAAGAAATTCTTTGCTGTGAGGGTGGTGGGACACTGGTCCAGGTTGCCCCAAGAAGCTGTGGCTGCCCCATCCCTGGAGGGGTTCAAGGCCAGGTTGGAGGGGGCTTGGAGCAACCTGGTCTGCTGGGAGGTGTCCCTGCCCAAGGAACGGGGTTGAAACTCAGTCTTTAAGGTCCCTTCCAACCCAACCCATTCTATGATTCTATGAAAGCAGCATGCAGCAGGGGAGCAGAGCTGGCAGGAGTTGAGCTGGGGATTTCAGCCACTCACACAGCCTCGTGGTCAGCTCTTTCCATACAATTCATCCCATTAATCCAGTTCCACCGAGGTCCTGCTACACAAGGTCCTTGCTACCGAGTAAGGCACAGGCAATGGGAAAGTGTCCAGAAATTTTGAAGCACTGTTGCACGTGAGCAGAGCCCCCCTCCCTTTCTCCTCACCATGGACTGTAGCCCCAGGTACCTCCTGAGCATTTGTAGTAGAGACTTCTGTAATTCCTGCTATCTGGATGCTGCCTCTGGAGTCCTCTCTCAGCTCTAAGAAGCCCGAGGATGGGTTCAGGAGGTCACGGATCACTTCGTTATAGATCTGAGGGTAAGAAACGAGCGGTTGGTGAGAGACTAGCATTGGGTCCCTAGTTCTGCAAAGAAGGTTGAGTTGGTCCTGCATTTCTTTGGGGTGGAAGGGAAGGTTTGAGCTGTACCACCCAAGGGGAGCACTGTGTGGTGGTCAGACTTGGACACCCCACTTCCCACAGAGCCTGGATCTGAGGCAGCTCGGACACTTCACCTCCAGGTAGGACATGGAGACCGTGTAATCCATCTCCTCAGAGGTAGCTTCAAGGGCCTTGAAGAGGTCCTCAAGAGAGCGGATATAAATCCCCGGTTCACAGTCTGTCCCCAGCATCGTGTAGGTTTTTCCTGTGCCTGTTAAAAACACAAAGAAGAATGAAGATCAACTTCCATGCAAACAAGTTTCCACAACAAGTAAAGCCCAGTTTCCTTCTGATTTCTGTCCTTTGGCCCAAAACTTCCTCCAGTTACTCCCATTTCTCACCCCACAATGATGCTGCCGCAGGAAAGACTTGGCACGTGCCATCCAAAATGGGTGTTCAGAGCTAGGGTAGACGTATATTTTCATACCATCTGTAGTCCATAGGTGCTTTCTACAGCTGTATCTATTCTCCTGAGACCAGCCTCCAACATCGTACAGGTGCCCTCATCACCTCCTCCTTAACAATTCTCCCAGAATGCCTCCAGCATTGTACAGGTGCCCTCATCACCTCCTCCTTAACAGGGAGATTTGTCTCCACTGAATTCCACCCCAATTAAGTGACTCCTCAAACAGGGCAGCTTTGCTGGTACTTTAGCATTAAAGGAAGATCCACACTTCCTGATGAGAATGGTATTTTAATGCTTAAGCCTTTTCCTCAACAGTGAGCAGTTAATTATCATTATAGTTCATTTCTGGTTTGTGGAGATGTATTTTCTTCACCCGGAGCTGTACAGCTACGGGGACTACTTTACCTGTTGGACCATATGCAAAAATGGTTGCATTGTAGCCAGAAATGACTCCTCCTATCAGGCTCTTGGTGGTGGACACATACACTTCCTCCTAATTTAGTCAAAAAAGCATAGAGTTATGGTCAGGCATAACAGCTGTCCAAACAATCTATACCCAATTGCATTCCCCATGATTTTCTCACTATGTTTTACAAATTTCCTGGGCTTTGGAACTATTTGTGAACCATTTGAATTTTTGACACAGCATCAAAATGAGCAGAAAAGCACAGATGTGTATTGAATTTTCTAAAGGCAGGCAAGATGCAGGAGCTTACTAAAATAAATACACTTAAATTTGATTATTTTCTTGGACTCTGAACGTGGAATGCTTTGGTTTTTTTCTTTGTGTCTGCTGAATAAGGCAGTAAATTCTCTCCCTGACCTTATCCCTTACTGAGGAATGCCACTGGGCCTCCAGAGATGTCTTAGGCACCATAGGAGGGGGCTACACTGAAGTTTCATGTGAAAGAGAAAGCAGACAATGGGATTGCTTGTGGGAAGCAAGGCTGCAGCCACGTCGTGGTGACCACAAAATGCGGGTGCTGATGGAATCTCATCCTGCACCTTCCATCTGTCCACAAGACACGGCTCAGCGGGGGCACCAGAGCTCCTTCCCCAGCCTGTAGAAGAGGGAAGAAGTGTACGAGCAAGAGCCAAGCAACGTGACCATGATCTCATCCACTGGGGACCTCGGGAGACAAAGCTCTTCGTCCCCCCTCGGGTGTGTTGCAATCGGGGAGTCCTGGTGTGGGAGGGAGAGGCAGAGCGAATACAACGTGTGTCCCCTCAGCTTCCATGAGGAAAACCCTCACCTTCAGCAACGTCACCTTTTATCTAGGTGACACGCGGCCTCTGGGGTGTGCAGTCCTACTCACCTGCCAAAAACATCCATCTGAGCAGGGAAAACGGTTCTAACATTAAGCCTTTTTGGTTAAAAACAAAGGGAAAGGGTGTTACCTGGGTTGCTCTGTGATCAAAAACCATGTCAAACACAAATGCCCTTTCTCGGGATCTGCTCGCTCGCAGGATGTCATCGGGATCTTCGCTTGGGTCCCTCAGGACCACCCTCTGTTATGAGACAAAGTCAGAAGAACCACCGTTATTGTCTGGGTTTCGGGATTTCTTACAGCATCTCTGGGCCAAAGGGACGTTGTGCTACAGCTCTGTGTGGATAACACCCTCATGTGCACAACGGGGAGGTCGACCAGCTTTGTTTTGCAACCGATGTCGCAACTTCTGCCCTTTGGAGAACCAGCAGCTGCTGCAAAAATGCTTTGAAGGTCCGTTGTGCAGCCAAACAGTCACTGTGTTGGGCAATCACAGTGGCTGCAGGGACAGGACACCCCACCGACCGCCACGCAAGCAGGAGGGGGACACCACCTCTTACCCTCAAGTTTCAGCCAAGATTCAGACCAAGGAGCTGTGAAGGAGCTGTGAAAGCTGTTCAGTTCCTCAGGAGCAAAAGCTCCCAAAGTCATCTTTCCAAAGCCTTCCCTGCAGAAGGACTGATAGAAATATCTGCATTGCTCCAGGACAAAAACTTAATTCCATTTCTGGCTTTTATTAAGGAAAAAAGAAAGGTGGGAGAGGAGTTGCAGCAGGTTGCAGAACTGGTTCTGTTTCTTTTCAGTCCCTTAGGATCTATTTTAGTTCATAATTATCACAGTCTGTAATTAGTGTGGAGAATGGTGTTCTTTCTCCTGCGCTGAAACGGCTCAGGAGGAGATGCTCAAGCCTCGAGGGAAGGGACAGAGAACCCTGTGCCTCCTGCTGCAGAGCAGCTCTCGCTCTCTCTCAGGTAAACAGATCATTAGATAAGCAATTAGAGGACAGATCAACCACCACTTGACCCAGAGAGTAACCACACTGGTGTGGGAGAGAGACAAGTGTCTTGGACAAGTGCCCACGGGCTTTCAGGAAATCTCAAGACTTTGGTTTTGCTTTTTCTTTTGCATTTCCTGCTACATCGCAAGTCTCTAACGAGCAGCTCTAGTTTTGATCTGCAAGTTTTCACTTGCCAGATTGACTTTTTTAAAAAAAAATGTTTAAATTCTATACTTTTCACTGGTCCAGCCCAGGTCTTAAAACCTTTGCTTTTTCTTTTGCATTTCCTGCTACATCGCAAGTCTCTAACGAGCAGCTCTAGTTTTGATCTGCAAGTTTTCACTTGCCAGAATGACTTTTTTAAAAGAATTTTTAAATTCTATAGTTTTCACTGGTCCAGCCCAGGTCTTAAAACCTGAAGCAACACCAGAGTAAACTCTGAAGGGAACTCCTGGTTTATCCTCGGTGGTGGCAGCGTTTCCCCGCTAAAGATGGGCTGACACATCATCATGTGCACATGTGAGTGCCACAGCCAAGAGCAGAGCTGGGAGAATGAGGTCACCTCCTTTCCTTGAGGAATTGGCTGGGTAAACACTTTCAGGCCCCTTTTACTGAGTCCTTGTTATGTCCAAATTTTGCTCGCAGCGCATCCACGCATCCAGAAGAGCCCTTCTCTCCCGACCTGGGGCTACCACCGTGTCTCACCAGCAGCATTCGAGATCTTCTGCTGTTGCACGGAAGCATTAAGACATAACAAGACACTAATAGAGTCAATTTTGAGCTAGGATTAATAAGCAGACAGAAGCACTTCTAAATGAGTTAGGCTGGGAGTAAAAATAGCAGGGAACACGGTGTAAATCAAAATACACCAAGAAATCTAAGTACTTCAACTGCCCAGTCAATTAATTTGCTTCCATAATCAGGGTTATTTGCATTATTAAAAGAAACTCATTCTCATAGATAGCAGTTACTCAGACTAATGTAATGCACATTTCCTTCCCAGATTTCCATTAGAGAAAATAGATCTCAGGGCAGATGATGCACGTCTGAATAAGCTGTAGAAAAACAAAACCGATATCCTTGTGAGGTTAATGGCTGCTTTAAAAAAAGAGAAGGGGGGGGAGAAAAAAAAAAAGGATTTTTCACCAATAAGGCGCTAAACAAAAATTGCATTTGTAAGATAATCCATAAAGAGGAAAGAGAGATTCATGCTCTTTTTGCTTTTGAGGGCTGTTATCGTTTGAGTATTGCGTGGAGACAAGATGTATTACAGAATTAGCGAGCATTCCGAGAGGGTTCAGAGAAAGATCAGCTGAAGCACGAGAGAAAATAATGGGATTTACACTGGAAAAGAAGGTAAAAAACAAGGGCGCAGTGAAAATATGTAAATAGATAGAGCAGTGTAGAAAAAGTAAGTTGGGACTTCCTGCAATCCCTGCCTCTTGCAAAGAGGAGCAAGAGGTGAAAGGTGCAGAACTGGAGAAGTGATGTTTGCAGGGGACAGAGTCATAGAATGATATGGGGTTGGAAGGGACCTCTGGAGATCATCCAGTCCAACCCCCTGCCAGAGCAGGTCCACCCAGAGCAGGTTGCACAGGAACGTGTCCAGGTGGGGTTTGAATGTCTCCAGAGAAGGAGACTCCACCACCTCTCTGAGCAGCCTCTTCCAGCGCTCTGCCACCCTCACAGGAAAGAGGTTCCTCCTCATGTTTAGACAGAATTATGTTCAAGTTTGTGCCCATTTCCTCTTGTCCTGTCACTGGGCACCACTGAGAAAAGATCGGCCCCATCCTCCTGACACCCACCCTTTAAGTATTTATAGCTGTTGATCAGATCCCCCCTCAGTCTTGTCTTCTCCAGACTAAAAAGCCCCAAGTCCCTCAGCCCTTCCTCACAAAGAGAGATATTCTAATGCCCTCATCATCTTTGTAGCCCTCTGCTGTCCCCTCTCCAGCAGTTCCCTGTCCTTCTTGAACTGGGGAGCCCAGACCTGGACACAGTGCTCCAGATGCAGCCTCACCAGGGAAGAGTTAGAGGGCCATCCTGCTGTGTCCCAAAAAGGTGGGATTTGAAAGAGTGTTTGTACAGGAACCAGAAGAGCCAGACCTCGCAGTGGCTTGGGTTGGTGGCTGGTGCTCACCTGGGCATCCACACTGTGAGCAACGAGAGCAGCTCCCTCCTCAGCTTCTGCCTGGTTGAGGGGACGGATGCGAAGGGCCACCTGTGGACACAGCACACACATGGGGGGTCCATGACTGCGGGGGCCACCTGGACCCACCTGTGAGAGGTGAGGCCGCATCATCACTGCATCACTTCCACTTCCTGCTGCATCCCTTCCACTGATCAACCTTAAAACCTTAAGCTTAGGGCCTTGAGAGTTTAAAAGAGTTTATAAAGTTTAAACCAGTTAATTCTCTCATGATTTGCATTTTTATCTTGACAAATTCTTCCTCTCTCTTCCCCGTCTCAGTCTCTAACACAGCGAGACTCAATTTGCACTTCTATCTTGACAAATTCTTCCTCCCTCTTCCCCCGTCTCAGTCTCTAACACAGCGAGACTCCAACTGATTGACAGAGAAGGTGGCAGAATGAACTCAGCCTTGTCATTGCTGCTGCCAGGAGGAACCTTGGGAGATCTGGGATTGTGGTCCCAACAGCCACGGAGCTGAGCACGCTCACGGACTCCCCCAGTGTTCCCAAAACACTGATTAAAGTCATCCATGACAAAGGAAGGGAATTGCATTTCAGTAAGTACCCATTTTGTTTAATCCCAGGTAACGATCATTACGAGCCTGTTCAACCAGATCAGAGGAAGTTGGCCCTGATCTGAGCAGGTCCCGCGGGGCTCCTCAGGAGCTGGAATTAATCGCAGGAGTGGAGCCATTATAAAGCAGCAATTAACTGCCAGAGCCTTGTGCCACAACTCAATCAGTCAGGAACACTGTACTCCATTTTCATAGAATGATTTGGGTTGGAAGGGAGCATTAAATCCATCTAGTCCAACCCCCAACCACGGGCAGGGACATCTTCAACCAGAGCAGGTTGCGATCATTACGAGCCTGTTCAACCAGATCAGAGGAAGTTGGCCCTGATCTGAGCAGGTCCCGCGGGGCTCCTCAGGAGCTGGAATTAATCGCAGGAGTGGAGCCATTATAAAGCAGCAATTAACTGCCAGAGCCTTGTGCCACAACTCAATCAGTCAGGAACACTGTACTCCATTTTCATAGAATGATTTGGGTTGGAAGGGAGCATTAAATCCATCTAGTCCAACCCCCAACCACGGGCAGGGACATCTTCAACCAGAGCAGGTTGCTCAAAGCCCCGTCCAACCTGACCAGGAATGTTTCCAGGGATGGAGCACCTGGGTCAGGCTCTTACCACCCTCACAGCAAAGAATTTCTTCCTGATATCTCATAAATCTCCCCTCTTGCAGTTTAAAACCCTTCACCCTCATCCTATGGCTCCCCTCCCTGATCCAGAGTCCCTCCCCAGCTTTCCTGGAGCCCCTTTAGGGACTGGAAGAGGCTCTAAGGTCTCCCCAGAGCCTTCTCCAGGCTGAATCACCCCAACTCTCTCAGCCCCCCTCCCAGCAGAGGGGCTCCAGCCCTCCCAGCATCTCCATGACCTCCTCTGGCCCCGCTCCAACAGCTCCATGTCCTTCTGCTGTTGGTGGCCCCAGAGCTGGAGGCAGCACTGGGGGGGTCTCCCCAGAGCAGAGGGGCAGAATCCCCTCTCTCTTCACCTCCAGAGAAGACCAGCAATTCAAAATCCCACCTAAAAGCTGCCCTTGACATCTCAGCTAGTAACAGAGATTGGAAAAATTCTATTTTCACCTTTCCATTGCTGTTTTCCCTTTCATAAACGACAGCAGCATCCCCTGAGCAGCTCCTGACAGGAGAGCTGGTGCTGATAGAACAGCATAATGACAGAAATGATGCCTCATCAGGAGGGTGTGCAATTATTGAAACAGACTTGTTCCGTGGCCCCACCAGTCACAAGCCACTAGTTACTATAGGAACCAGATTTATTTTCACAATAACAAGCTACATGTCAATTTAATGAGGGTTTCACAAACAGCTCCCAGTCTCGAGCACTGGAGTAGACCTTGCTGAGTAGTTCCAGCAACAGCAAAGGAAGATTTCTTCACCCCAAATATCTCCAAGCACAGGGAGGGCTCCCCAGCTTCAGAAAGCTTTTAATATTGACAAGAATGGAACAATTAACTCGGCTTCATCACCTCCCTGACCTCGTCTGAGCGACACCGTTACGAGCACCTCATTCCCATGGGCTGAACTCATCTCTGCAAAGCATTTGGAAGCGTTCTCTCAGACACCATAATCCCAAATCCTGCAGGAGGAGCAGGGGATGGAGCAAGTCTCTCTCTGGGCCAGCCCTGACCTCCGGAATAGTCCCGTTCATCCCTGCATTTGGTAGCCCTGGCCACCGAGGGTAAGAAAACAAACCCAAGGAAGCAGCACGCCAAGACAGGTCACACCAAGTACTAAGGATTTTTCTTGCATTAGAGAGGAATGCAAGGTATGCCAGATATTATTGACTTTATTTCAAGTGATTCCACTTCAAGCCGAGGTTTCTGTGTCTGCCTGGGTCGTGTTCCAGCACAGCATGAGGGCAGTGCTTGGGTTTAGGGGGGAGTCACGGGGCTGAAGGCTGAGGCTTGGGAAAGGATCACGTTTTCAAAGCACTGCTCTTGCTGGGATCACCACGGAGAGACACCGAGGTCCTGGAGCAGCAGTGAGGGCTCAGACAGGAACCACAATCCCAGCTCCTTATTATCAATCTCTCTCTCAAACAGATCCCAAAGAGATGGGCACGCTGAAGATCACTGTTTGAGGAGGACTAACCCTCACCACCAGCCTGGTCACCCAGCCTCACCTCCCCTGCTAGAGGTTTTTCTCCTCTGTAGGATACTTAGACCCAACTTTTGCTTTAAACAACACAGAGCTCTGCACAAAGAGCCCAAGAGCACCTGAGGAATACCAAAGGAAAAATGCTGGGGCTGGGTACAGCCCAGCTCCTCCATCCTGTGTCCTCCCCAAAGCCAGAGGACTCACCGTGAGCTGCTGCTCCTTCATGGCCAAACTGCCGGGTGATGCCAGCTCTGGGCTGGGTGGTTTGCCCAGAGAGGTGCACATGGTTGGAGACCTTCAGGAGGCTGCAGAGGCAGGAGACTGAAGGGTTCAGAGGCAGCAGCAGCAGCGCACCTTCCCTGGGGAAGGGAGAAGTGACACCTGCACTCCCCTGGCGGGGAGATGCCTGTGGGGACAGCAGGAGAGGCCCCAGAAGGAGTGTGCCACCAGGGAACACCGTGAAGGGGCTCAGGACAAGCAAAGTGACCAACATGCCAGCCCAAATTCGTTATTTACATGTAAATCCATCTGCACACCCTTGGTGAACAGCTCACCACCTTATTTTCTGCCCTTGAAGATGCCAGATTTCTCCTAGGACCAAACGTGCAGAACAACCAGGGCCCACAGCCCCACCAAAAGCTGGGCAAGAAGCACTCAAACCCCTCTGGTCTCATTCAAGAAATGCCAAGAGCTGTCGAGACCTTCAGGAAAGAGTTTACTACCTCCCTGAGCCAAGTGCAGGCTGTGGTGGGACTGTCACTCCACGCACAGGGGCATCACTCCTGCCCTCAGGAAGGCCATTCCCCGGCGGGTTTAGCATCAGTCCATTCGTTACAACGATCTACCCGGAAAAACACAACAAGATCACCTTCTGTCTTCAGTATTTATTGATAGTAAACAAGTCAAAGCTCATAAAAGTTACAGTAAGGCGTTATTAAAAAAATATTAGAGTTTAAGAATTAAAACTTGGTACAGCAAGCGAACAAAACTTGCTCTATGAAGTTTGCATTAAGGACTGTAGATGGTTAGAAGGTCACGAGAACGTTTCTTTATTACAAATTCAAAATAAAGACTGTGAAAGCAAAGACTAGCCCAGGATTATACGAATTGTGCCAGTTAATCTTGCTGTTTAAGACCAATAATTAAAAATACTTGGGACAACATGTTAACAAACACAATGAGATACTACCCTACTTAATACTTAAGGTGTTTCTCCCCCAAGCCACCATCCCATGGAGGTACAACTGCTGCAGGAAGCCTTTTTCCCCCTCCCATACATCTCTCTATACAATACCTACAAACCTGCTTCTGATTTGACCACCCATCAGGAGCCCTGAGGAGGCCACAGGCTGAGAACCAGCAGCAGAGGGCTTGAAGCTACAGACCACCATGGGTTCAATCCAACAAGGCCCTTCCTCCCTGCTACAACTCCTCGTGGTATTCCAAGATACACCAAATAGTCTATTTACCAAATACATACCCATAAAGCCATTTCAGGAGCACATTCATTTGCAAAAAACATTTGGGGTAAGAAATACTAAAGAAAAGAAGACAGTAATTGAGGGGAACAGTGTGGAAATGCCAGCCTTACCCATGAGAAGAGGCCTTAACTGCTGGCCAGGACAACATCTCAGCAGCTTCCAAAGCTCCCACAGGAGCATCAAGTTTCAGTTTTTCATTGTTTTCTTTTCCCCCCCGGTATGATTCACCCTTCAGAGAACGTGTCAGAAGAGGGCTCAATTCATTTAACATCAGCATTACATTCCTTTACTTTGAAAATGGCCAGGGATAAAACCCAACAGCCTATTAAAACTTCATTGCATGGAGACAGGGGAAAAAATACCCTTTCAACGCAATTCATAACTTAGAAAATGGTTGAGAAGTCACCTCTTCACAACAAAAGGGTAAGTGAAAAGATTCCTGCTATAGAACTTCAAGCCATTACTGGAAAACTTCGATGTGCTACAAGCTCTTCTGCATTGCTTTGCCAGAAAGTAAATATTTTTTTTTCCAGTCCAGTCGAGATGAGCTTGGTAAATACTGTGGACAAAACTTTAATCATCTATATATATAGATTGTCAATGAACAAATACAGAAAAAAATGGAAACTAATATAGACTTCTGGAAAAAAAAAAACAACAAGCAAACAACCCACCTGCTGGTTTAAGAGTGAATTATTGAGACTAAGTCAATACCATCATTATGGAATGATTATGATGAAGTCTCCCTGGTGAAGAGAACACGGGAGTCAATGGAGGAGCTGGTGCATTTTCCATCACATGAAGTTTATCTCAGGACAAGGAAAAGTGAGCCCTGAAACCACAACTGTCCCTCAGCTGCTTCTGGGCTACCCTTTACCCAAAGGGTGGTCTCTGTCCCCCACTGAGGATCTGCCAGATGCTGCTGTGTGAGTGAGCCCAGGGTTTAAAGAGCCAGCCAAGAGGGCTCACAGTAACCACTTCACTGGCCAGTTCAGGAGGAGCCAGCAACATCCTCATTCTCCCCTCCCCTCAGAGGGCAAGCAGCAGGGCAGCAACCTCTTTCAATCTCTGTCAACCTCTGACAAGATCCAGAAAAGAATCTACTCCTAAATATGAATACAGAGAAGTTGGTCCACCAGCTTTAAATACTCTTTTCTCCTCTGAGCACAGAGGGCTTTAGAAACTAAAGTAGGTACTGTGAGAGGGAGCGTAAGGCATGTGCCTACACAGCATTTCTCTCAAAGTTTGCAATGTTCCCTAATCCCTTCGTTTAATCCAGTAATTCCTGAGGCCAGTGTCAGTTTGCAAATGGTTTAAGGAATCCACTCATTTTGCAGTCACTCCACTAAACAGAACAGGTCAACTTGTCGCGTTAACGAGCCACAGCATCACTGTAAAAACCAAACAAACCACAACACAAAACCAGAAGAGAAAAAAAATACCCAAAGCAAATCATATAGTCAATGTAGCAAACACCCTCCTGTTACTGTGGGTACGTCTGACTTCCATCACCCAGGGAAAGATTCCCTACAAACAACACGTAGCCAGCCCAGTTTTAGTATAGATCTGCTTTTATTTCCATATTCAGCTCTTTGAGGGAGATGTCCTTTCACAATCTGAAAGGAGGAGGATATAGCCCACTGTAGTGCTGCTTCAGCACACTAAGACACATCATCCAAAAAACAGCTCTGTTGACTTTTCCCCAAACAAAAGGAACACCCGTCCATGCACTCGGGACACAGAAAGAGTTCTCAAACAGAAACATCGTGTGTGTGTGTAAGACAGAGGTGCACCAATGAATCTCACCTCCCTGGCAATAGGCAAAAACTGCCAGTGAGTAAGTACTGCACAGGAATCAGTAAGTAAATACTGGTAGTAGTGGATTTAAAAAAAAAAAAAATTAAATTCAAACCCTTAAAAAAAAAAAAAAAAGGGAATAAAAATTTAAAAGCAGCGCCTTTCCAGTATCTCGCTGCAGCAGGCAGCAAGGCTTCAAGGCACTACAATGTGTCAGAATGGAGAAAACCTGGTGCATCCACCCCTCCAGAGTGCAAGAATATGGATTAAAAATTCCAAAGTTGATGTAGACTTTCTGAAAATGAATGAACTTCTTTTCAGCACAAGATAACGGTGGTGCTGCAGGAAAGGAAAAAGAGAGGCGAGTTAGTTCCTGTGCTTTTATACAAACAGCTCGGCCTTACCACAGACAAATGCTGCTGAAAAAGCACATTTTTCACCCTTTCTTAAACTGATGTTTGTTTAAATGCAGACACAAGGCAGCTTCTCTCTCCTTTCTATAAAAGATCTCCCATGTGTGGGACACAGATAAGCCAGGTCCAGCTACAGTCAAAGGTATCAAGGTTATGATTTTTTCTACTGGTACAAGATGGGTACTGCTCAAATTTTACTTTAACTCCTTAGATATATGGAGGCTGAAGAGCTGTTGGGTGACTTGGACCTTAGGTGAAGTCCTAAACATGACAGAGCAGGAATACATTCCAGGTTTTAAGTCCCATGTGCCTTCACTATTAAAATATCTTTTCCCTCCCCAATAAAACATATCAAGCTCTCCAAAGGACATTTCCTACAGCAATGGTTAAAATAGACCCTGTTTTCAACATACAAATATACACTATGAATTCACATTTCTAGAAAATTGACAGCAGAGTTCGTGTGGATATTTAAACATTTACTCAAATTTGTATGAGCCCACAGTCAGCTTGTTGTATAATCCTCAATACAGTATTTAAACTCCATCCAGTCTTCAACTAACACACAATAATTCTTCCGAAAGGCAAAACTTCTACCTAATACTAAATACAATTCTTTCTACTGACAGAGCTGTAGAGTTTGCAATTCACTGTGTTTAAAAGTTGACCCTGACTGTTGTGGGTTTGAGCACTCTGGGAAGACAGGACACACAGAGTTTTCTGCTAATCCCAGCTCATAAATCTGACTGTGATTACTATTAAAAAAAGCTTTTGTTTGTCCCTTTTAGCCACAGAGAAGACATAAACCAACCCAAAAAATAACAAATTCTCTCCTGCAACAAACCTAACTTTTCCAAGCAAATTATTGATCTATAGCAAAAGCTGACAGAAGAAGTTTCTCTCTACTGAGAGGTATGCCTCTTACCAGTTTTATTAATTACTCTGGTTCTGCAAGGGTAATTATTTCTTCGTTGATAAAAAATTCAACAGTCTCCTCCTCCCAGTCATCAACATTGCTGTCCAGCTCATCCGTGTCTACCCCTGGAAGGGAGAAAACATTACCACTGGATGTATCAAACACAGCAGCAAGGGAAAGATTTGATGCTCTTGGCACAAACAGTCCTTTAACCAGCAGTGAAGTTAGAGGTATTTAGTGTTTTAATGAATTTAGCACGTCCTTATATGATTTAAGTGACAAACAAGCACTACTGTCTCCCACCACAACATTTTCTGGTTTAATGCAACACATAAATCTCATGGTTTTATCTCAAGGTCATGCCAGTGTCTGTCTTGAAGAGGTGAGGTAAAACATTGATAGCAAAATCTGGCAGCAGTATTTGAGCTTTCTCCCATGAAACAAAAAATAGAAATCTGTTATGATTCAGGATGAAGAGTATAAATAACCTTCAGAGAAGAAGGGACAAGCTTTGGCAGGAAATGGAGGAAGAGAAGCAGCAGATGAAGCCCCAGAAGAAAGTATTTATTTTGTAAGCAGCAGCAGGTACTGAGCAGCAAGTCTTTACAAGTGCAACGTGAGCCTCACCTCCTCGGAGCTCTAAGCGCTCGTTCCTCTGCTCCATGTACAACTCTTGTG